CCGCCCCCCCCCTCCTATTTTTCTGTTAATATTTTCAGTTACACTAGCCGAAACAAAACAGTATTCCAATGAAATTTTAAAAGACTGGTTTGTCGAAAACGACTCCCTTTTGCTACCTTTATCATCATCTTCGTGGAATTTTTAATTATATGTCAATTTTTCCTTTGGCACTTTTCAACCGATTCCATCAAAATATATGCATGTCTGCCAATCACTTTTGACTATGCGCCATGAATATCAGCTACTGGCTACTGACTACTGACTATAAACTATTGGAGTTTATACCGATTATACGCATATTTTATTAGGCCTAGGCCTGGCCTACTCAATGACATTTTTTTTTCTTCAAACTTTTCTGAAGAAAATTGACCAATACGAGGGCCTCGTCTTTGACTAGCCAGCAACAGAGTTGGGCCATTATTATAAAAAAAAATTGGCGATATTCACAGTTCAGATGGACGGCACTAATAATATTTAAGACGGTCGTAGTAGTTCTATCGTTTCCATCCAAAAATCTTTCTTATTTTCAATACTAAAAGTACCCATCACAACTGACAAATCTGTCATAAGAAAGAATCGCAAGATTCTGATAACTGTTGTATTTATCCAATTCATTCCTTAAATGTTTTTTGTTTTTTTAAATTACAATATTTTCGTTTTCTGGTGGTATTAAAACAATAACAATCATTTCAAATATTTAGTGTATCCATCGAAGAGAAAGTTTACTGTGGTCAGACGTTTTCCAAGATGGTGGGTGTTATTTTGGTTATAATCATTATTTATCGCAAAATCTACATTAAACTTGTCTTCTCAGCAACTAATTGCCATTTTCTGAATTTTCTGACTCATACTTACATTATATTTTCACTTTCAGACGAGATATTTCAACCAGAAAGAGATTGACGGTGAGTGAAAGTTTTCTAGTAAACAAGTGAAAGACTAAACACTCAAATCCACTCAATTGTATCAGATGACTAATTGAGTGATGAATACCTAATTTCATTTTTTTAGTGGGCCACAAATATTTGATGATACTGAGTGATAGTGAATTTTTTTATGAATGTCAAGCCATGAATAATTAATTCAATAGAAACTATCATTTTTATTTTTTCTTTCTTTCCAGAGTTCAAGGAATGCTTCAATTTTCATGCAAGAAAAGGTTTTATAAACAATGAAAAAGATTTATCAGTAATAATGAGATCATTAGCTTACAGTCCAACCAAAGTAGAACTGGTGAAATATTTTCAAAAACATGTTGCAGGTATGTTTGAGTTTAATCTTGGATCTTATCTTTTGTGTGAAAGGAGCCAATGATTGGTACTGAGTTACCAGTATATGATTTTCTGTTTTTAAATGGAAGTGGTTAACTACATTTTGATTGACACATTATTTTATAGCAAAACCTTAACACATGCTGAAGCTTTTGTAGTACAGTATAAGATGTCTTTCAGCAATTCAGGTTTCACAAAGCTACAAACTTATTGCTGAAGGTTGCCCTTATTGCACACTAATGGCTTTACCATCTTATGATAAGTAGGGTTTGCCCTTTAAATTGTTATTCATGTCTCTACAAACATGTGCTGTGCTATAAGATCAGCATTTTTGTTTTCTCTTACAGCTGATGGAAGAATAGAATTTTCATCATTTCTAGATATATTACATGAACATTCCAAGATAGAAAATTGTGAAAAGGAGTTACTTGCTGGGTTTAAAGCACAAGATAGTCAAAAACAGGGTTCTATCAGTACAGCTGAAGTAAAAAATATTTTGATGAATAGTGGTGAAAAATTGAGCAGAAATGAAGGTATTTGAATTGTTTATATAGCTTTATTTTGCTGTCTCACTTATCATTGCTTAAATTCAGATTTTTACTCAGTTTAATTCATTGAACTTACACAAAAACTTGTTCATATTGTAAGAGGAACTGCAATCAAACATAACTAACACATACAGACAATTTAATAGCTCTAGTCATGAAAATGTTCAAGCTTTTCAAAAAGTTTTTAATGAAACGTTATCTCTGAAGAGTTTGATTCTTCATTAAGTTGGTCCAAGAGTCTTATCTTATTATTGCAGCTTTAATCAATGCCTTGAATGAAAGTTTGTCTGTGCCAAATATAATACAAAACTTGTGATAATAAAACTTGATAATCCCTTGTCAATTGTGAAGTAAAAACAGGCTTAATTCATTTTTATACAATTTTTTTTGACAGTGGATGCTTTGTTTAGAGAAACTCGTGTTAATGGTGGACAAGTCAATTATAAACAGTTTCTAGATGCCTTATTAACTCCTTCCCCAGATTACTAAAATTGTTCGCCAGATTTTTAAGGTTGTTAACCAGATTACTGAAGCTGTTCACCATAATTACTTACAATTTATATTCACCTAATTACTTGCTTCACTAGATGACTCTATAATTAAGATTTAATTGTTTTTATCTAGGGTGTCTGTTTTTTTTTACATACTAATTAATTACATATGGCTATAGTATGTACTGTCACATAACTGTGAATTAAAATATTCAATTGGAATATCAACAGATTGGATTCACTGTGTTTTGGATAAACAATCCTTATCAGATAAGATAAAAAGATAAAATCCAGATTTTAAGAAATACAGTAATCTGATTGGTTAATAAAATAAAATTTAATATCTATTTTAATGATTGACTAATCATATGATCACAACACTAAAATCATCTTAAGTTTTCCAGAATAAGGCCACTGAAAGACTTAGTTTTGAAAAGGGTTTAACTTTCTAAAATTAGACTTACTGCCCTTGAGCAAAGTAAGTGAAACCATTGAACAGTACCATTTTGAAGCTGATATTCAATTCATATTGAACATTCAATTTTTGTATCATATTTGACATGAGAAACTTGCTAATATGTGATTTAATGAAAATTATGTGCTTGAACATTCCAATTACCTGAAGATTTTTATTTTACTATAGAAAGTTATATTGTTGTTGAAGTAATTCCATTGTTTTTCTAACTAGTGAAATCTTATACAAATATATCTTATATTTATAAAACAGTAATATTATGTTAAAATGTTTAAATGATTTATACAGAACATATTTTATTTACATTATTTACTCTATAATCAATTTAACATATCACTTCTATTTATATACAAATATTAATAAATTATTTAAGAATACATGTTGACTGATTTTTGTTTTCCTCCTAAATGAACATACAATGATGTGTATTTAAGGTCACTCCTTTCTCTCCATTTACACTCCTGGTTAAAATGTGCCTTCACGATTTATACTATTTCTACCACATTTAAGCACCTCCCACCCTTTTATACAATGATATAAGAATATTCGATATCTTTGTAATAGAGACATATTCTGCATAATTTTAGAAGCTGGTGGGTCAATCAATGCTCGAGATCCATAATCACTTATCTAGGGATAATCAGAAACAAAAATAGTACCTTTTGTTCCTCATTGGACTACTAGAGAAAGTGGGAAGTTGATATTGCAGAATTTTCCTACCATATGGCATTGCTCATCCTAATTAGTTCATAAAAAAACAGATAAGGATGTAAAATTCCAAATTCATTGCAAGATTTACCATTAACATCTGCCATGTCACAGCAACTAATGTGCAAGCTAACATAATCAAGCTAACTAACCTTGGGTTGGGAGGATTGGTCTCGGCATCATAGGATATACTACTGTTTGACAATAATAGAAATTATTGTGCCCCAGAAGCTAGCAGATTATGCTTGACCAATAGCAATTTCCTATGTGAGAGCGAGGTAACAACATGCAAATGAATTTTTATTAAAACTAGTTCAGATAGAGGTAGAGTACAACAAAAATTGAAAAAATATCAACACAAGGTTACTTCCCTTTTGAATGAACATTAATTTGAATTTAATAGAACATAATGTGTCATTTATTTCAATTACACAGATTATTTCAGAATTAACACAATGCAAATAAAATTTTTAAACCAACAAAATAAAACATTAATTAACATTTCTTTCACAAGGAAGAACTATTTGCCATTTTCTTTAGGGTACCATTCTTACAAAATGATTTTCAAGTAATTAAATGTGAAAAATTTGAAAAGAACAAAAAAAAACAATGAGCAAATATATATCAGAATATACAGCTACCAAACTCTTTCGATGTTCTCAAAATCCCTGATTGTTGCATAAATAGAACTGCTCAAAGCCATTTTCTTCAGTTTTGATGAACTTTCAAATAAATGATTCATTCAGAAATAAGATCTTGATGTTTTCGTTCAAGTATTTTCTGCCATGGGTTTCACAAAGCATACATGATCTGAAAAATCTGTTATTAGACATTGTCCTAGGTCACTAAAATATCCAGCCAATCAAATGCTCTGTTTATAACAAGATGTACTGATTGCATGTAACAATGTTTTTGATAAATTGGTTCTAGATTATTGATGGCTTCTGATGCTTTATCTGGTCAAACCTCGTTAAAGATGGGGAATGTAGTAATCTGCAGAAAATACATGAAACAAGACATCTCGATACGCATTTCAATAATTAATCAAAAATAAATAATATTGTAATAGCAAATTTATATTGAGATACATGTGGCAATTTATTGACATAACAAAATTAGACTTGAGGTATTTAAGAAATGAATATCACATTTGATACAAGTTATAATAATAAATTATGATAATTTATTCAGCAATATAAAGGTTTAATATCTGTGATAATAAATAAATAGAGGTTAATAAATTGTATAATATTAATACTAGTTAATTAAATAGGATCGCACCAATTTACTCTCAAACATGGACGAATCATAACAATTCAATTTATAAAAGTATGTATTCAAAATTATCATTTCTTTTTCCGGCAATCATACTGCATTCGATACCTGCTGTGAAAGGATTTCGAGCAATATTCATGATTTTATAACCAAGGAGGACAAAGATGTTTTAATTCCAATTCCAAGCTCTTTTTCATTTTTGTTGAATGTCTTTAAACCTTGTCAACAAAGAGCCACATCTGAAGTTCCTGCTATTTTTTTTTAACTTGGTCAAGGTGAAGGTCACAGAAGTTGTGAAAATCGGTCTCGACAATTTTTGTCCATTTTCTGTGGTAAATATGAGAGAAGCCCAAATTAGAAAATTCACAACATTGACCCTGTAAACATGGTAATCACGAGAGGTATCGAAAGAGGTATAAGTACCTTCCATTACCTCAGTTAAAAAATAATTTTGGTAAATAAATCAAATCATGAGCATAGTAGAATATTAATCATTAGTTGTAGTAGTTGAAATCTTTAATTCACTTCACATAAAATTCCTCGCAAAAAATAACCCTGATAAAGATAATAATATCCTTCCATTTTCTGAGCACTTTCTTATTAATATAAATTAGCCCTGATATTATTGATAATGGTCTGGAGTATGAACATACGATAGCATTAAGTCTATAGCTCCTGGCATCCAGTCACGTAAAATAAAACTGGGAATTGTAATAAATGGAAAGTAAATTTCACGAGCCCTGACTGCACCACCTTTCACAATGGCCAGAGCTGCATCTGAAGGTTGAGCTGATTTTACAAGACTTAGCACTCTTTTTAAACCAAAATCTCCTAATTTGCTTAATGCATTTTCTGTACCTAAAAAGAAAAAGAAAAAAATATATCCCATTTACAAAAACAGAGAAAAAAACTCTGGCTGGCTATTGTCATGGTAACATTAATGTAAGTCATATCTTTTTTTTTGTGTCAATGCTTATGACCAAGCATTATACAGTGTATCTAGAAAAATCAGTCACTGTAAATATGATACTCCCCATTTTGATAAAAAAAATAATAACAAATTGGCATAGCACAGACACCATAATACTGAGTAGTAATATCATGTAAAAAACGGTGTACACGAATAAAAGGTAACAGCTTAAAAAAACAAAATAATTAAAATAATACCTATAAGTCCCAAAATACATGATGTTATAGATATATCACATTTTCTCATCTTCAATTCTTGTCGTAATGCAATAAAAAATCCATCTAAAGCAAATTTCGATGCAGAATAGGCTGATACAAAAGGTATTCCAAATTTGCCTGAAAGATAATAAAATAGAAGAAATACTTTTGATTTTCTGTCCAATCACTCTGAGCAATTGATTGCACTTAAATTGTCTTGAGGCTTCTGAGCATAGCTTCTTCCCAAAGAGATGTAGTGTGAATTGCTTCACCAAATTTCTAGTATGATTACCATGATTTCAATGTTTGGTCACCTCCTCCAAAATCAATTGATACCAATCAAAATGGTGGCAAATATATTGTGCACTCATGAATTTCTAGATTTACCAACCAATAAAATCCATGCAGACTTACCTGCAAGAGAGTTGACAACAATAATGCTGCCCTTATTTTTCTCTAGTTCTGCTAATGAATGAGAGGTAAGATGTATGTAAGCTTTAAAATTAACTTCCATGATATTATCTAACATAGTAAAATTCTTCTCTGTACCTAACCATTCTCCAAGAGGTACTTCTAATATATGATTTAATACTAAAATATCTATTCCACCCAACTTTTTAATGGCTTCCTGTCAAACAAAAACACACAAAAAATTCACTGTTATCCAACAACAGTTTTTTTGCACATTAAAGGCAATTTAGAGCATAAATAAGAGAAGTCTATTTTGAGTTTGAATTAAAACTATACATGCAAGGCTCATATTGTGTTCATTACTGCTTAAACTACCTAAAAATATAGTGGAGTCATCTCCTCATGTTCACAAATACCTTTGCTCACCAACATAAAATTATATATAAGATTATTATTTTCTAGTCCTTCTATAGATCCAATGCGGTTGGGATACGACACACTAAATGCTTGGTTATTATAGTTTATTGTCGGTAAGTTTTGTGCTGAACTGAAACTTTGTGGAGGAGAAAGGCATGAATAACTGATGTTACAACAGGAGAAAATATATTAAGTTTGACATTTAATCAATTATGAAATTTGATTATCAATAATAGAAATTACTAATTCATAACAACAATAATTGATTATTTTAATTATTTTAACCAGCCCAAAACCCGCAGAAGTTATTTTCTCAAAAATACATGATTACCTGTACAACCAATTTTGTGGATTTCATATTTTTCATATCAGCTGTTACATAATGGTATTTACCATTTCCTTTTCCTAGACTTTCACACTTTGATATAACCTACAGTATTAAAGTTTTCTTGTCAGTAAAATAAACCCAAGGTAGATATAAAAAAATAAAGATATGATATATATCAATATGACAAACAATCAAAAATAAACAAATTTATACAATAAAATGATATGGGTGTTTAAAATATCTTTTATCAATGAAAATTTGATATTTTGTTGTACAGTTATGAAAGAAAACTAAAAGATGAAGGTGTCAAGGTACTTAATTCAGCCCCATCAGCTGGTAAAGACAATATTAGGACTACTGGCACAAAACTTTTCAATTTTGCTACATATTATTCCTAAGTTCCCCTGTATTCGAAAGCAGGGATATCCCCCACAGAACAGTTCTGCTTCTTTGCTTACTATTACACAGTCATCATTAAAAAATTGTTCATGCACTTTCTTTCCATTAATCTCAAATTAGATATTCCCCTGGTGCCTTTAATTAATCTCCCACTCTCTTCCCTCTTTAAATAGCTCATAAGATATTGCCAACAACAACATGAACTTTTAACATTAAAACTTACATCTTTTAAGGCATTTTCTCTTCTAGCTGTTATCATAATATTTGCCCCAAAGCTAGCATAATGATAGGCTATATGTTCACCGATACCAGTTGAGGCCCCAGTTATTAATACTCGCTTACCTTTCAGTTTTTCTGTAATATAGCGAAATAGAAAGGTAGAATTCCTCTTAGGTACATTGCTGTTAGAACCTACTTTTAGGTAGGAAAGCATATTTGTAATGTTTTACTCTATGACTAGGATTTCAGAAAATTCATATTTTGGCAACCAGTATAAAGTTGGGGGATGTTGAGGGAATTATGCTCATTGCATAGCCAGTATTGTTGGAAAAGTAACCACACGTTTTTCAAAATGGTGTCTCTCCACAACGAAGTGGTCTTTAAATATTGTTGAAGGTCAATGCTTTGTTCATAGGAAAACTAAAAGATAGCTTGCCAGGCAAGGTAACATACGCCCACTGGCAGCTGTCAGAAATGATTAAACAGTCTTTAGTGACTACAGGGTTGCACAATATAGCTAGTAGAGTGAAACGTCAAGTCAGACACGATATTTTGGTGAAAAATTATCCGATCATCACGAAAATCAATAGGGATCATCTTCATAATGACATTGACACACAAAATAAAAATCAAGAGAATCTGTAAAAAATTGTAGCCTGTAGAGTGAGCACGAGTTGCACAATATAGCTAATAGAGAAAAATGTCAAGTCAGACACAATATTTCGGTGAAAAATTATCCGATCATCACGAAAATCAATAGGGATCATCTTCATAACAACATTGACATACAAAATAAAAATCAAAAGAATCCATAAAGAACTGTAGCCTGTAGAGTGAGCACGAGCCAAATGTGAACGGACGGACCGACCGACGGACGGACGGACGGATCGACGGACCGACGGGGTGATTACAATATACGCCCATCTTACGTGTATAATTCTTATTAATTTGTTAACAGAAAAAGATAAAGTAATAATGAATACTTGCTTTAATATAAATACCTGGATCAAAGCTATCTATATACCAATAGCCTATCATTAGCCCTATTAATACTGCTATTACTTTCTTCCACATAGTTTATCTTTTACAGCTACCTGAAAATATAGTGCCATAAACTCTCAGACTTATTAAGAAGAATTTCCAACAGAATTGGATCTTGAATCTAAAAGCGTCACAAAAAAAAAAAAATCCATGAAGTTAAACTCTTGCTTTATAGAAATAGATTCATTGATGGGACTTTAAAAATATCTTATAACAATACTTCCTTTTTCCCTTAAATGGTAAGGAAAACTTCATGGAAAAAGAAAAATGTTCACAACTTTGGCATATATGTTTGATGGTTAAAAAAGGTAAAAACATTTGACATTTCAACCCACTATTCAGTTTTTGCCCACTTTCTGCTGCCTTTGTGTGATTCATTCTTGTCTTGTCAAATATCATTCTAAATTTGGTAAAGACTCAGTTTTTATTCATTCATTAGTCTAAAAGCATAGAGTTAAAGCTGAATGTAATGGTGAAAATATTTTGAAAATCAGACAAACTCCAACTTTAAATTCTTGTTTACCACAACTTAGTTCATAATTATTGATAATCTAATAAACAATACATGATAATCAAGTACATTCTTAAACCATCATTCATAATAAAATCTGGTACATAACATACTAACTTGTTTTACAGGTTTTATAGAACGGAAAAAATCTGAAATTCATATCATCATCAGTTTTTAAATTCAATTACCAGTTTCATAACAACCAAGTTCACTCGGTAAACTTGTTCATTAAATTCTGAAAATACTTCAGTTCCATAAGAAAGATCATAAGTACTTTTGTTCAGCTTACATAACCCCAGTATTAAAATATTGTTGATTATTGGCATGAGAAAACCCTAAGCCTCAAGGTATCTGTAGCAAAAGTTTTAAGGTATTGCAAAGAGGTTACCTTAAGTTTTTAGGTGTATCCGGGACACTCATAGCATCAATTTGCACCATTCCAATTTTCAATCATGTCTGTGGTTCCTGCAATTCCACTAAAACTAAGTGTTTGATTACGTCACAAGGGCCTGATGTGATACAGCATATTTTGTGATTAGTGAGGTCATCAAACACTTATTTTTTGTGGAATTGTAGGAACCACAGAAGTCTGACTGAAAAATGGAATGGTGCCAATTGATCCAATCAGTGTCCCCGATACATATAAAAAATGTAGATAACCTCTTTACAATCCCTTTAAGTGAGTTGATTCATAGTTGAAATAATTTTTTCCTTTGGAATACAAATGACCGAAACTATGCATGGGGTAGTATTCTCTTTATTACATCATCAGCTGTCAGAACTTAAAAGTGACATTCCAAATAGGAAAGACTTGAAAATTGAAATGCAAGTTAATTCATCATTGAGGAAGTGCTTTCTCTTAGTTTTTTAAGTGTCAAGAAAATTCAAAAATTTGATTGGGGTTTTTAGTTTATCAATAGGTCTTAAACCTTAAATCTTAAACCGATCATATAATTAACAAAAACCATGACCATATTGTGACATCAAGCCAAATCCAAATTAAAGAGAAAAGTGAAAATCAGAGCTCAAGCCTACCCAATATCCTTACAAGAAAAAGGACTAGTATTCCTGCACTTATGACTGGATTAATGAATGTAATGTGATATATATGATATATATCTAATATATATAGTCAAGTCAAGGTATATTAAGGTGGTAATTAACATGCTTAGTCAACTGTAACAACAGGTATAGGTGTATAGATAGATATAAGACCAGAACTCCACTTTTTACAAAGAGGTCAATTTTTTTTATATCTTTATATAATTTTGAAATATCATATTTCATTCCTGTTTCAAGATTTAGGACAGGAAATCAGGATACAATGAATATACTAGAGTAATTCTCAAGAAACATGCAACTAAAGAAAAGGTTCAGAATATTCAATTGATTATTATCATATTATAATTTTTACCTACCACGAAATAACAAAAAAAATTCACTCTATCCACAGAATTCTCAAACAACAATAGGTTTACCACACAATTGATTCATACTCATCAACATCTGGAAATGTACATCACTTTTTCAGATATCCAAAGTTGTTTACACACTTGTTATTTTGATTGTCGTGTTATATTCAGTGATAATAATAAAAATCAAGAACAAATAAATTTCCTCCACGAAATAAAAGTTCCACCATCTAACAACAAACTATCAATAAAATGAGATACTTTGAAGGTTCTAAATTGCATCCACTTTAGTCTTTCAACTAACAACAGTGACATATATGAAAAGGCAATTGTAATCAAACTAATTTTGCAAGTCAAGGATATTGATTCATTCACAAGGATGAACTTTGATTTTGATGTACAAAAGAATAATGGGAAGGTCTTAAACCGTGGGAAAATATCTTTATATTGTCCACTACATATGATTTCTCCTGTTGTCTTTATATAGGGACCATGACAATAGGGGCCATGACAATAGTCTACATGGATAATTTCAAAGTCATGAATTACAGTGTCTATCTTGTATAATTTTGCAAGTTATAAAAAAACATTTCCTTCTGTATAAATTTGAAGTTTTATCGTCCATCTACTATAATTTGCAGACTTGAAAATCTGTATATCTTGTATAATTTGTAACAATTGAAGCAAACTTCCTATTTTAATTTCATGAATTCCTATTTTGTATACTTTCACGAATTACACACTGTCTATTTGTATACTTTCACAAATTACACATTGTCTATTTTGTATAATTTCATAAATTACACACTGTCTATTTTGTATAATTACAATGAATTACACACTGTCTGTTTTGTATAATTACAATGAATTACACACTGTCTATTTTGTATAATTACAATGAATTACACACTGTCTATTTTGTATAATTACAATGAATTACACACTGTCTATTTGTATACTTTCACGAATTACACACTGTCTATTTTGTATAATTTCATGAATTACACACTGTCTATTTTGTATAATTACTATGAATTAACACTGTCTATTTTGTATACTTTCACTAATTACACACTGCCTGTTTTATATAATTTCACGAATTACACACTGTCTGTTTTGTATAATTTCATGAATTACACACTGTCTGTTTTGTATACTTTCACGAATTACACACTGTCTGTTTTATATAATTGCAATGAATTACACACTGTCTATTTTGTATAATTACAATGAATTACACACTGTCTATTTTGTATAATTACAATGAATTACACACTGTCTATTTTGTATAATTACTATGAATTACACACTGTCTATTTTATATAATTGCAATGAATTACACACTGTCTATTTTGTATAATTTCATGAATTACACACTGTCTATTTTGTATAATTACTATGAATTACACACTGTCTATTTTATATTATTGCAATGAATTACACACTGTCTATTTTGTATAATTACAATGAATGAATTACACACTGTCTATTTTGTATAATTACAATGAATTACACACTGTCTATTTTGTATAATTTCATGAATTACACACCGTCTATTTTGTATAATTACAATGAATTACACACTGTCTATTTTGTATAATTACAATGAATTACACACTGTCTATTTTGTATAATTACAATGAATTACACACTGCCTATTTTGTATAATTTCATGAATTACACACTGTCTATTTTGTATAATTTCATGAATTATACACTGTCTATTTTGTATAATTTCATGAATTACACACTGTCTATTTTGTATAATTTCAATGAATTACACACTGTCTATTTTGTATAATTTCAATGAATTACACACTGTCTATTTTGTATAATTTCATGAATTACACACTGTCTATTTTGTAAATTTGCAATGAATTATTATAAGAAATACATACAGCATCTTGCATAATTCACAATTTACAACAAGTAAATATTTTCACTGTTAAACAAGTGCTCAATACATCAATTGTAGAGTGATATTCACAATTAATTATATAAATCACATTCAAAGGTTATCATTTATCTTATGAAGTAAATACAAACTTGAAACATCTTGACCTACAAATATTGTCAAATATATACCAAATTCAAAACTATTACAATTTGTAACTGTGATTTTGATGATAAAGCTTTCAGATAAATGAAGCTTAATTTTACCATAGTTGTACTAATAAAATATAAATTGGTTTTAAATCCTCAATATTCAAGAATATAAATTAACCCAATCAAGTTGAAAATATTGTTAAAATAGTTCTATCTGATATTTCACAACACCTGATACCACTATGCCACTGGGATTCAGCATCACTCTGATGGGATCTAAATGCATTTAAATTTCAAGCATGTGTCAATTTATTACTGAGACTAAGGTAATGTCATTCGTTCAAGTGAAAGGAGATGTTCAATATAATAGGTTCTCAAGTTGATATTGACTTGATAATATACTCTTCTCTTCCATCTCTTTATTCTACCTAAATAGTTGCCACCTTATTCAAATTGCCTTGTGAGAAAAATTTCAAAAGTCGTTCAGACTATTTTGTCTTGTCCATGAAATCTCACTTTGAAACCAAGGTTATGTATTTAGTTTGCCTACAGAGCAAAAAAAAAAATATTTCTGAAAAATTCCTAAAGCTTTAGTTGATGTCAGGGATTAATTAATAACAAAATGCAATCAATTTCTTAATATAATCCCATTGGATCTAAAGCAGTTGCAAAATAGCAAAGAGTCTGGAATGGTCTACTAACCCTTGTAAATAAAAACCAAATTTGTAAAACAGTAGTTCAAAATAATATTGATGAAATGGAAAATTAGTTAACAGACATTATTTTATTTGTTCGGATTGCCATGTTACAATGACATGACAAATCATTGATAAAATGTCACAGTACGACCAAGAAAATACTTTAGATTCATTTGATTTATAACCACTATAGATTCAGCTTTATAAAAACTGCAGAGAATTACATCACCTGTTTTATTTATTCATGTCACCCTTCACAACACTTTTATAAAGTTATCATAATATACAAGTATGCAATATCAATCCAATATCCATCTTACATAAAGCATAGCAGAAAAATAATACATTTTTACCTGATTCAAATAC